TTTAAATAATTTTTATCAATCAAAATAACTATCATAGCACAAAACAACTATAATTATTGTCACGCAAAAAAACAATACTAGTCTGTCAGAATGATTATTAATTAGCTAATGTGTGAAACATACATGTAATTACAGAAACTACATGTGTGGCCACAAAAATAATCAGCTATACATGTATAATGTGCATCGTTTAATTGCACATGTACATTTGTCACTAAAATTGAAGCATAAAACTACATGTACATGTACATGTAAATATAAGCTAAACAATCATTTGTTTATTAAGACACAAACTGGGCCATATTGTTACTTGTCATTGCTGAATAAGGTGCATCAGTTACTGTTCCATAAGGTATTTTCAATTCTTTTTGCTTGCTATAGTATGGATCATAAGATTTCTTCATAAATGAATTAAATATTCCCAGTATTGACTTGATTGCAGTACCAGTAGTGGATTTTTTATTCGTTGTCTCATCATTGTTTGACACTGGATCTGGTTCAACAGCTGGAGTGTTAGTGATTAATAGCTGTTTAATTTCAGATCGATTGTAAAACTCAACACCATTCACTATATCCAGTGCATTCATTCTTTCATCATTTCTTTTGTTAATATCAGCTCCAGCTTGTATTAATGTATCAACTAGTTCAATGTGTCCACTTGAAGCTGCTACCATTAGTGGAGTTATACCAGCTACCAGTGGAGTATCTGGACTCATACCAACTTCATAAATCATACTAATTAATGTTCCTAAATCTCCTTCAGCAGCTGTTACTAATAAGTTTCTCTCATTATCTGGAAGAGTTGTTATTTTCTCAGACAAGTGGATTATCATTGAAGAATGACCTGCACAACATGCAACCGTAAAGGCACTAATGATGTTTTGAAGTGTGATGTCACATTTCTCCATTAAAACTGCAAATGCATCAAAATTATTGGAAAGTACTGCCACTTCTAATGAATGAAATTTCATACCACCAACAGTGTGAACATGATTAGGATGAGAGTCTAGTAAAAGTTCTAATGTTTTAATGTAATTACGAGAGTCAAAATGAGGATGTTGGTCAACAGGTATGTCATCAACTGCTAAACTAGAAATAAAATTGGACCATAATAGGATAATGGTAAAAGCAGTCAATCCGTCATCGCTTTTAATATTAATATCTGGATCTTTACTCAGTAATAGTTCAATAACCTGGTGATGTCCATTAGTACTAGCAAGCATCAAAGCAGTTGATCCATCCTTACTTTGAATGTTAATATCTGGATCTTTACTCAGTAAGAGTTCAACAACCTGGTGATGACCATATTCACTGGCAGCTACCAAAGCAGTCCATCCATCATTATGTTGAATGTTAATATCTGGATCTTTACCCAGTAAGAGTTCAACAACCTGGTGATGTCCATTAGTACTAGCAGCCATCAAAGCAGTCCATCCATTATTACTTTGAATGTTGATATCTGGGTCTTTACTCAGTAATAGTTCAACAACCTGGAGATGTCCATTGGAACTAGCAAACATCAAAGCAGTCCATCCATTATTACTTTGAATGTTGATATCTGGGTCTTTACTCAGTAAGAGTTCAACAACCTGGTGATGTCTGTATAAAGCTGCACCCATTAAAGCAGTCAATCCATTATTATTTTGAATGTCAATATCTGGATCTTTACTGAGTAATAGTTCAACAACCTGGTGATAACCATAGCGACTAGCAGTTATCAAAGCAGTCCATCCATCATTATCTTGAATGTTAATGTCTGGATCTTTACTCAGTAATAGTTTAACAACCTGGTGATAACCATAGTGACTAGCAGTTATCAAAGCAGTCCATCCATCATTATTATCTTGAATGTTAATATCTGGATCTTTACTCAGTAAGAATTCAACAACCTGGTGATGTCCGTATAAAGCTGCACTCATCAAAGCAGTCAATCCATTATTATTTTGAATGTTTATATCTGGATTTTTACTCAGTAAGAGTTCAACAACCTGGTGATGTCCATAACGACTAGCAGTTATTAAAGCAGTCCATCCATCATTATCTTGAATGTTAATATCTGGATTTTTACTCAGCATGAGTTGAACAACCCGATAATGTCCATTGCCACTGGCATACATCAAAGCAGTCCATCCATCATTTCTTTGAATGTTAATATCTGCATCTTTACTCAGTAAGAGTTCAACAACTTGGTGATGCCCACTAGAACTAGCAAACATCAAAGCAGTCCATCCATCATTATCTTGAATGTTAATATCTGGATCTTTACTCAGTAATAGTTTAACAACCTGGTGATGCCCATTGGCGCTAGCAAACATCAAAGCAGTCACTCCATCATCATTTTGAATGTTAATATCTGCATCTTTACTCAGTAAGAGTTCAACAACCTGGTGATGTCCATATCGACTAGCAATTATCAAAGCTGTCCATCCATCATTACCTTGAATGTTAATATCTGGATCTTTACTCAGCAAGAGTTCAACCACCTGGTGATGTCCATTGGCACTAGCAGCCATCAAAGCATTTGATCCATTATTATTTTGAATATTAATATCTGGATCTTTATTCAATAAGAATTGGACAGTCAAGATATCTCCTCTTCTGCTAGCAATCATGAGGTCAGTGTTACCATTTATTAGAGGTGAACTAATATTAAGTTCCAACAAGAAAAACACTAAGCTTTCGTTGTTATTTTGATGTGCTTCCTGCAGTGCAGCCTCAAATGTAAACGATTTATCTTCATCTTCCATCATGATAGGAATATCATCAATCATAACCTCAAATACACCTATCTTATGTAGAGAAACCGTCTGTTCAATAACTGCTTCTATTGATATCTGAACGTTTAATTGAGGTAGCAGATACACACATGTAAAGTTGGAGGCACTACGATGTACTTCTTCGAGTGTTAGAAAAGATGAAATAGGTAATAAGTAAAAATTTTCCATTTTATTTAATTCAGCAATTGTCCTAGAGCACCATGCCTTGTTGAGTCTTAAAATAATCTTTGAACAGCCAACACCATCAGGACAAGACATTCCTTTAGTCATCATTGCTAGCTCCAGTAGGCTAGTGGTATCTTTGAACATCTTCAGGTTAGCATTGTATTCTTCTACCTGTTCCTTGATAGGTTCTGTGATAGTACATGGTATTGTAAGAAGGTTAATGTTTAAACATGAGTAATGAGGCTGGAGCAACTGAAGGAGTTGATGAGCATTTTCACAAGTAGCATCTTCTTCGATATATGATTGAAAGTGTTGTTTTGCTTCTGTTACCAAGGCTTTGCTGGTCAAAAGATTGGTGCCTACATCAATAAAATTACTATTTAATGCATTAAAACAATTTTGTAGCCATAGAAACTTTGCTCTTAAATATGACAAATGTGCAAGTAAAAATGA